CATTCAGCTACCCAAAAACCCTGTAATATAGAGTTGAAAGTAAATAGAAGGTTGCAGAACAGTACAGTAGCAACAAAGGCTGTGTGACAGGCTGCTGCAAACCTGTTAAGTCTTTAAGGGATTAATGCAGAGCTTTAAAGTTTCAGTGTACTATTAGAGAACTTACTGATCTTGGTAGCAGTATCAGCTCCTCGGATTTGTTTGAAATCCTGACGTTACTGGTATTCTTCCACTGGATCACAGAGAAACTTTTTTGTTGATAGCAATTAAAAATACTGGGAGAGGAGGGGAAAAGATACAGAGCTACTTCTATTTTCAAATGTATCTAAAAGATCAGATTTCTGCTGGTCAGCCCTTGTTTTGCAATTTTTTTTCTTATATAACACAAAATTTTGAGTGGAGAAGGAACTCAGTTATACTTAAATAGATGTCTTGCACTACTTTTCAGCAGATCCTCTATATTCTGTATGCAACTAACCTTTTGAAGGATTGTTTTGGGAAATAACATATACTCTTATAATTGATTTCCACTAACTCATGGGGAAAAGATGTTATGGTGCCTGTTTCTTTAGGAAATTACAGCATTCTGTATTAACAGTTATGTGTTATTGTTTAAAAAAATATATGTGGATCCCTCATGCTTTTAAATGTAAATTTATTTTTGTTACCTCTAAGAATAGTCACAAGGGTTATCTGCATGAGGATTATGTGAACCTGAAACTTCACATGGAGCAAAAGATTCAAGAACTGGAAGATGCTGACAGAAATTGGTGTAAGAATGTTGGACAAGCAATGCTGTGTTGCTGCAGTGTCATCGAGCAATCATTTTTTCAGTTTTGTTTTTTTTAATCAGCATGTTCTGGTTTAACATTGCTATAGTTGTTGTATAAGCTTTCTTTCTTTTTTTTTTTTTTGTGGTCTATTGTTTTCTTTCTCTAAAAATTGATTACATTTGTAATTCCAATTTAGAAAATTACGCCTTGCTTGTGTAGTAGCTGTTGCTTTGCTTGTTTGACAGCTACCCCTTGTAAGGAATTGCTAAGAATACGTTTAGTAATGTGAGATCGTGTAAGATTATTTTATGTAGCAAGCACACTGCTAATTTCGTTAACCTTGAAACTACAGCAAAGGTCAGCATCTAGAAAGCAGAGGTAGCCTTAGGCAAGATGAATAAATGTACACTGTTTATCATACTCCTAATTACAAGGTGCTTTTTCCCCCCTTCTGCTTCTAATATTCCTATATTTTACCACAAAAGGATCATCTTACTAACGGTGAAATTTTATCTTCAACTGTGATACCCTAGGCAGGCACTATATCACCTCTTTCTATATAACAAACATTAAAGAAAACTTTCCTTCTTTGCATAAAGGTGTATTTGATATTGGAATTCCTTTTACTAATTTACACATGAATGTGTTTAGTCATTAGAACTAAAACACTTAATTTTTGTCCTGTCAACCAAACCAATATATAACATAAATGGAAGTGGTATGTTAAGCAATTGTGTCTTCCACCCAACACCTGCCAATCCAAGTCTTGCTGCCCTCACTATAGTAGTCCTGCTAAAATAATGAATCTTCATCCAGCACTCTCTTTCTCATGGGCTTCCCAAAGACAGTTTGTGAACCTACCTGAAGAAGTGTGAGAACAGGAAGAATATTTGATAACTGGCTTGGAAGTTATGGTGCATTCTGTGGTTGAGCCGTAATGATAAAGCTGGTTAGCTGCTGTCCACAAGCGTGAGGCTACATCATCTAACACACGTGATTTCTCTTACAACACTGGAGAAGAAAAAAAGCTATCTCCATTGTTTATGCTTACAACTAAAGAAGCACATCTTCCATGCTTGCCACTGGATCTCCTGCAGTTATTCCCCCTAATCTAACATGATTTTGTACCAATTAGACAAAATCCCTTGTGATCTCTTTCTCTTGTTTTCAGTTGTATTTTATCAATTTAATTCATCAAAGTAGTTTCTCTCAAACACTTTTTTAAATGCTTTATCAGTTTAGCCACTGGATGGCAGCTCACTGCAACCGTTCAGTTTTCTGGAAAATCCATGGCTTCTTTATGAACAGTTTTTCATGCACTTACAAAACATAGGTGTTGTGAGGCAAGAATTTCACATTTGTTTGATGATGTCTTTACTGTTGTCTTTAATTTTCATGGTTTGGAGTAACTTGCAGTGTTACTTTGGGAGAATTTCACAGTAAATGTACATTCTGTAGTACTGTTCTTACTTGCGTTTGAAATGTAAAGTCTTCTAATAACAGGTGATTTCCCCCCCCCCCCCCAAGAATGACAAATAATATGACTGGTTTTGTTCTTTTCCTTTAAATTAAAATTCAATTGCTATAAGGGGGCAGTGTGGGGAAGGAGGGAGGGAAGAAGTTCCATAGTATCTCCCATCAGTCCTCATGTCACTTCAGAGTGCAAAACATGGTAGTATTTTTCTAGCAACTTTTCAATAAGGCTGTAGTTTCTTAACTCTTCAGTAGTTCTGCAAGTATTCACTTTAAAGGCCTCTTGACTGCAGCCAAAATTTTCCCTTCTAATAATACTGAATTGTTTTGCTTGACATAAACAAAAGCTTAGACTAGTGAATTATGTACCTTTTTTTCCATGTGATTTCACATAGACTACTTCTTATGCTGTTTCTATGGTCATTCTGCAAAACCAGAGGGAAACAGTTAAATTTTTTTCACTAGTAGATCCATATGTATATGCATGTGTACATAAGAAGATGGATATCCTTGCAGCTTATAGTAGATTCTACACAATAATCAATTTCCATTTATTCATGTGCTTAGAATATACATTTAACTTCTGTTAGGATTATTTTTTTATATTCAAAAAAAGTTCTTAAAAAGTATAAATAAAAAATACCCATAACTTTTAGCATTGGGGACATATATAGCACCTTTCTGCTCCTCTAGAAGTCAAAAATTATGTTCAGTTATTTCTGTAATGCATAGTATTTGACATATTTACAAGTGCTCAGATGGCTGTAAAGGAATTGAACTTTAATGTCTATAAGATGGGGGGGTTTGTAAAACAAGTGGTTTTTTCTCTCCTCTCTCCCCAGTGGTTATGTGGTGATGAAATCTGATCTTATTTTGCAAAAGATATTGTCTGGCTGATTTGTTTATTTAAGTTCCCCTTTGCTGTACAAGTCCTCTTAGGGGACCTACCATAGACCAGTTTATAGGTTTCATTCAGCACAGTCTGAGTCTTATTAGAATGGAGGAAGTTGATGTGATGATTAAACTCCTCATACAGTGTTTGAAAGGTCTGAGACAATCCAGTGTTTCCATCAGTACCATTGTTCTAGTGTTACCTATATGTTACTCCCTTTGCAGGTAGTGCTTGCTGAATTTGATGTGGGAATTAAAAAAGAGAGAATGTGAGTTTCACAAGCAGACAATTGAAAAGGATTAACTTAGTTCTGTCCCATGAAGTTAACTTATTTTAAGCTGTTACCCATTACTTACAGAATGAATGACTGTATTATAATCTAAAGTCATTCCTGTGTGAAACATGTGAAAAGATGACTGTTGTTTTTGCTGCTTTCTTCCACCTATGTAGTGAACTAGGACAGCAGGAAGTATGGGTATTTGTGGTATGCATCCCTAGTGACTGTTTTTTTTCCCATGCAACCAAAAACTGTGTATAGGTATTTGAAAGAGCTCTGTCATCCTTCCACGTGTTCAAAAACCTCTGTATATGCAATGCTCACTAATCATCATCCAGCATTACTTGGATTGTTCTCTGATGTCCATGTCCACTTGCTTCAGTGGTGTTGTAATTGATACCTTAATAATTTGACAAATTGAGTTTATATAGGTAGAGGGGAAAAAACCCTCACTTGATACCATTGAGAAAAACAGACAAGCTTTCAGGAAGAGGGCTTGTAGGAATTTGCTATGTTTTCCAGCTGGGTTGGTTTTTATGTAACAAAATTAATTATTTCTGCCTATAAACATTACCTTTAGGGTAGCAAAAGGTTGCCTGACCAGTTGTGGTATCCATGCATTCCTGCATCTTGAATGTTGCACGATTGGAGTTTAGCTTCTGGTTTGGTTTACTTGTCTTGGATGTTCTTTAAAGGACACTGCTGTAATAATGGATTCAAAACCACTTTGTCCTATTGCAGTCTTGACTATAAAGATTGCATGACCAACTGCTGTTCACTCAGCAAGAACAAAAGAACCACAACTGCATGTATACTTATTAAATGTAAATGTTGCTTACTCTGTGTCATGCAGTTTAAACTCTGATGGCACTTCAGAAGAAACCTCTGATTTTTTGACTTGAATTTTCTGACTTGAATTCTTGATTAGAGATTTCTAATACTGTTTCTAATACTTGCACCTTCTGCCTCTTTCTACACTGTTTTCAAGGTATGTAAATGCAGCAGCCTTTTAGCCTAGAAATTTTACCCTGACAATGCAGCAGTTTTAATTCCTAGCTCTTTTGTATCTCATTTCTGATATCAGCAAAACAGAAACATGCTCTGGGTGGAAGTACTGAGAGTAGTATTGATATTGAAGGGCAGTTTATGCCTCTTGAGCTGAGGTGACCTCCAAAGATGATTCTAAATACCCATACAGATGGACCCTCAGAGACTATTGAGCTCCATGCAATTAAAATGCTTTTGTTCAGTAAAATGTTGAGACTAGAACAGAACAAAATAAAACAGATAATGTAAAAATTATCTATTTAGATAATATAGATTAGATTAATTGTAGATTAGATATATATATTATAGATATATCAATATATAGAGAGATAATATAGATTAGATTAATTATATATCAGATTACTATAGATAATATAGATAGATAAAATAGAACAAGGAAAGAAGATGAGGACAATAAACAAAGGTGGATTAAACTAAACAAAACCAGATCAAAACAAACAAACAAACAATAAATATCCACAAAACATCCTTAGTATTTATTCTGCTGAAATCAACAGCTTTGCTCTGTGTCTCATAGGTCTAAACAGCAACTGTCTCTGGCAGCTGAGCAAGAACAGATTCTGAAACAAAGTAAAATGCAGGCAGAACTTAACTGGCAGCAGCTCTGTGAGAATGCTGAATGTAATTGGTATCAGAAACCAGAGGATCCAACACACAGCCTATCTTCATCAAGAGAGGAGGTGAGAATTTAAAATTAATACTGTTTAAGAATCATCTATTGTATAGACAGCTATGGAGTCTTCTCACCACAGTGTTTCACAGGGAAATATGTCTTTAGCTTTCTTTCAAAAATCTGTAAAACAGTATTTATGTATTGTGTAGAGCAGTTCATCACATGTATTTTATCAGAGATCAGACTAATTTTCATGAGCAATCTCTAATAGTGGCTTTTTCTCCCTTTCCATGTAATCAAATTGGCTTGAGAGATGTTCTTCCTTTGCCATTGTAGCAAAAGAAGAAAGATGTTTCTTAGATCAGCCCGAGGGCAGAAAGAATTTCAGATCACAGTACCACTTGAATTCTATCAAGAGAACAATATTAGTCCTGAAAAGCTCCTGGGTGGTATTTTTGTGTGGAAAAAAACCCCTTATTTTGTGTAGTGTAACAACTTCAGCTTCTGAAAAATTAAATACATGCTTATTGTTTAGAGACTATTAGACAATGGTCTAACAATTCTCAACTCCCAGTTGTGCTGAACTCACAGGTCCAGAGGAAACACTTGTTTCTGAAGTTCAGAATCCTGGCATTTACTCTAGTGTTTTATTTTATCATTGTCCTTCCAAAATTATTCATAGGCATCAATAGCTGTAGCATGTGAACATACTAGAGAGATAAATCATCATTTTCCATTTTACATGAAGAAGATAAGAAAATGATGACAAATTTTTTGTCTGTTAGGGCAGTTTTTGACAGAGACAAAGGGAATGTGCTTAAGTCCCTGTGCTATGTTTTAAAGTATCCTTAATTTCCTTATTTTTCTTTTAATTTCCCTTTTCCTTTCCCTTCCTTACCTTTCCTTTTCTTCTATCCCTTTGTCTTTGAGCTGCTGACATCCTCTGCCTCCCCTCCATTCCTTCAGTCCCAGGCTCAAGCTGATGTACAGAAAACAGACTACAGGTTGCATGAAGTGAAGAGTGTTCTTTCTGCTTTGACTGTTGAGAGAGAACAGACAATACAAGCATCATTTAATCACAGTATTTCACCTGAAGGGGAGAAACAGGTTAGACAACACTTAGTGTAGACATGGACAAATTCATTCTAAGATAACAATATTATGGGCCTTGTTTCCACTGAACTTACTGTAGGCAGTTCATCTATTTCATATGTTTCATTCAAAATACAGGCATATCTGTCCTGGAATAATATAGATTAGGTCATGGGCTTAATTGTGGCTCTCATTCTTTACTCACTAGCAAAAGGAGCAAGCTGGACATAGACAGTTGCTTCAAAAAGTGACAACGTACTGTAGCATCATGGAACCAAATGGGAATAATTAATTTCTAGAACCTCATTCCTGAGGTTCTGTGTCAATTGCAGTTCAGGGTAGATTTTAAAGTTGAAAAGTTACAATTTTAAGGCAATGTCCTTTCATTGCTACCTCTTAAATTGCTTCTATTTTAAAAAGCCATTCAGAGTTGAAAATGTAATGCTGGTTTGAAGTCATGCTGAAGGATAGTGCATTAAGAGTATAAAACTGCCTTTGGTAAAAGAGTGAAAGCAAAGTGTATGCTGCAGTGCACTCTCCTGGGTGGCTACAGGTGCTCAACAGGGACCAGTTCAGAGCCTGCTACCAGAGCTTGCTAAGAAAAAGCAGTGCTAAGCAAGCCCAGTAGTTCCTGAATGCAGAAAATTTTGTTTCCAGAAAGATACTTCCTTAAGACAGATTTTATTGTAGATAAAAGTAGACTGCTAGCAAAAACTTGCTATGGAGCAAGTAGTTTTTCCAATTTTATTTCAAACTGGACTGATTTGCTAATTGATCACAGAGATACCAAGAGAATGGCTGGGCACAGTTTCTTCTTTATATTCTTATATTCTTCTTTGTATTCACTGTTCTCTTCAACTGTGGATGGCAAGACTGTCTTCATTGTCACTTTTTTTTTTGTTGTTAAAAAACTCTGGCTTTTGCACTTTTGGCATGTAGGATAAGCAGTACCCATCTCAGCAAAACTTTTTTGGTCTTTTTCCTTTTTATGGGAAGGGCCAGTGTTTAAAAAACTAAATAACAAAATTTAAAAGTCTATTATTCTAGTCTAGAACCTTTTCTGTACAAAATGAAATGTAAACAAACAGAAGAAAACTCACCAAGACATTTGTGTCAATGAGTCCTCTTAAAGAATGAATAGCCTCTGGTTCAGATGACTGATGCAAGAAAGATCAAAATTTAAATACACCTTAGTACATTATCTTCAGTACACAGGTCCTTTTCTTCAAAATGGTCTGAGACCCCAGCAGTGTGCTAGAAATGTTGCAGTAGTCATTCTTGGCCTTTTAATAAGTAACTGAGATGTGAAACACCCCAGCCGGGAAAATCTTGCTTATAACTTATATTTTAGTATGACTTAGGTCATGTTTGTCTAACTAGAGCATGCTAATAATATCATACACAGAAAAGGAAAGAGTGCTTCAAGTAATTCTGGTTTATTAGGGTTTTTATGGTCTTCTCTCTAGACCTATTTCCACTTACACAAATCTGGAACAGTTGTATTTCTGGTTTAAACTGTGATGGTTCATGTGTACATTGCAAGTTGAGATGAAGTCCTGGGCCCCAAAATTCACATCTGGGTGTTGCATTGCTACCTACTGGTGCCTTTGCCTGATGCACCTTAAAAGCCTTGGAAAGACTGTAAAAGCAGAATAGTGATTATTCACATCTTCTATGTAGCCTGTACTATCAGGGCAAAAACAATCACAGGAGAAAGAAACTGCAGGGCAGTTTGTCTTTATGCTGGGGAAATTTAATTTGAAGGCCATTAGCATTCCAGATGAGACTTTCAGATGACACTCGCAGAACAGACTTATGACTGGGAAAATAAGAGGGCTGAAGGAAGTGGGAGTGATGGAGAAGATGGAAACAGTAGTGTTTGAGGCTGTGCAAGGTGTAAATGTTGAGACTGTAGTATTTTGATGTATCTGAAGTATTTTGACTACATGTGTTAAGCACCTCATGGATTGCCGTGCTCTCTGAAGAGGCAAAACTGCTGCTTTGCAAGAATTTTAGTTTAGAGTTAAATATAAAGAAACGTTTATGGTGTAACTGTCCCTGGACATGTTTAAAACAAGACTGGAAATGGCACTCAGTGACATGGTTTAGCTGATGATGAGGTGTTAGGTCATAGGTTGGACTAGATAATCTTAAAGGTCTTTTCCAACCTAGTTCATTCTGTCATTCTGTGATTCTGTTTTAGCAACATTTTAATACAAATACTCAAAAGACATATCATGGTCTTTTCCTTGTGCAAAATATTTGATCTGAGTGGCTTGTGAATTAGGATTTGTTTAGTGACTGTAGGAATATACATCCCTCTTTGCATGGCTTCCTAATATTCCTGTATCAAATAGTATCTGCATTTCTTAAATGGATGATGACACATGTTCCTGTCAGTGAAAGAAGATTTTACAGGGGTAGAATCTCAATTCTATATTCTCTGTTTGGATGAAGCCACAGTTATAATACATTACCACTGACCAAACAAGACATTTAAAAATCTTTGCAGACACACTTAGAATGAAGAAACAGCAAAAGTAAGTAATACTGGGACCCTGATATTCTGATCTTTATATGCCGTAAGTCCTACCCATAAGTATTTTTTTCCTGAGGTTTTTGCTGGCATTTCAAGTGACCAGGAAACGTGTTTTCCAATCAATGTCGTATTTTCTAGATATTGTCCATTGTCCAGGTTATGTGGGTGTAGTCCACACACTCGTTCCCTTTTTTTGGCTTAGCAGAGGACATCCAGCTTTTTTATGTTTGCCTGGGGCTAGGTTTTTGGTTTGGTTTTGCTTGGTTGGTTTTTATTTTTTCCCCAGGAATTTTCTTCCCATTTGTAGTCAGGGAGATGGTGAACGGACAGCGATCGAGAAGCATACCATTGTAATGGTTCTGGGGGAGTGGGAGAAGCGGAGGAGGGGGCAGAGTTATTCTGCCAGTTTCCTAGCTGGGGGTGGGCAGTCTTTGCCCTGTTGGGAGCAGAGGCGGTCGTGTGTTTTTTCTTCGCCTTGGACCTCTCCTGCGCAGCGGTTTTTCCACACTGCCGTGGAGCTCCGCCTGCCGCCGGCTTCTGAGTGTGTTGCTTGCAAGAGAGAAAGGGAGTCCCGGCAGCTGCACTGACTGGGATGGCGGGCTGCCAGCGCCGAGAGCCCAGCGCAGTCCCCGCGGCTGCCCGGGAAGCCGTTCCCTCCGCCCCCTGCGGAACCGCCGCTGGCAGCACGTCCGCCGGACCTCCTCCCTCTTCGGCAGTGGGAGATCGCGGTGAAGCCCTGCGTCCCTTCCAGCGTGTACCGGCTGCCGCTAGCCATGCCGAAGGCCGATCACTGCTGGCCTGGGTGCCTGCGGGAGTCAGCCCTTCTTCCCTCGCTCTCATCGGAGCTGCCATCTCCGCGGAGGGGCCGCGCTGCAGCTGGAGCCGCCGCCGGCACTGCAGCCTACAGCGCCCCTTGTCGGCCGTCGTCGCAACTACACCAAAGGGGAATGCTTGGCGGGCGGGCCCAGGCTGTTGGTGGTGTTTCTTTTATATATAGAGAGAGAGACAGACACAGACACAGACACGGACAGAGAGGGGGGGAGAGAGAGAGCCTAGTAAAGAACTGTTATTCTTTTAAATATATCTTTGTCTGGAAGCCCTGTAATTTCAAATTCATAATAATTTGGAGGGAGGATGTGATCTTTCCATTCCAGGGACATTCCCATCTGCCTTGGGAAATATCTCTCTTTTAAACCAGGACAATGTTATTGTCAACAAATGATCTCCAATGACACTTTCAAGAATTTGACAGGTCAGAAAGGGGACTGCTTTTGAGCCCATAAGTTCCTTAAGGGGAGAGTTTACCTGCACATGGAAGAGAGATAAACCACACCTGCAGAACAACGGTTATAAAACAGAGCTAGCTCTGGTGCCATGGTCCTCCCCATGTGCACCTCCTCCTATGATGTTCTCAGTACAGCACTTCTTTCCCAGGCAAATCCTCAGTAAACACATTTATTCTCCTCCCATGGTACTTTTCTCCCATATATGTTCATGGGTTGAAAGTATGTCTGTGTGTGTGGAGAGAATATGTGTCACTTAATAATGAAGGGTTCTTTTTGTCTTGTACTTTTATTTTCCAGATATTTCAGTATGGTGATGAAAGTTCTCTGTGTAAATATATCCCTGCTTCGGAAATAAAAAAGCTGCAGGAACAGAATGCCAGCCTTCGGGCTGCTATTGCACAAATGAGGAAAGAAATGGAGAGTCTTGATGAGCAGATGTTGTCTTCTCTTCCTCAAACAGAAGACAGACAGCTTGCAGAGCAAGGTGAAAATCTTGACAAAGAACTTTAAATTCAGTTAAGAAAAAGTTTAGGAGTCACCATCATGACCTATGAAGGCTACCCAATCCATGAGTGTGTAAAAATTTTTATTTGATTGCACCATACACAAGAACACAGTAGCCTGAGATTCTGTATTACAAATTACTATAAAACAGTTATTAGTGAAAAGAAATACACACACACACACACTATAAGTCACTACAAAATTACCACTAGAAAAGCAATCATGTATATATTTTGCAAGAGTAAAGCAATTATATGTATATTACAGAATTCCTGATAGTGAAGCCAGTATGTAGAATCTCAGAATGGTTTGGATTGGAAGGGATCTTTAAAGATCTCCTAGTCCAAACCCCCTGCCATGGGGGTTTACAGTCCATTTACAGTATATCTACTGAAGTGGTGTACAAAAGGAGGTTCAGGGGAAACTTACCACTATCTACAACTACCTGAAAGGGAGTTGTCATTAGGTGGGGATCAGTCTCTGTTTCCTAGTAATAAGCAATAGGACAACAGAAATAACCTCAAATTATGCCAGAGGAGGTTTAGATTGGATATTTTTAAAAATTAAATCTTAAAAATTATTAAATAGTTAAAATTTTCTTTTTGAAAAGGCCTATTCAAGCATTGGCACAGGCTGCTGAGAGAAATGGCTGAGTCACCATCCCTGGAGGTGTTTAAAAGGCATGTATGTGTATGTGGACATTTAAAGACGTGGTTTAGTGGAAGACTTGGCAGTGTTACGTCACTGGTTTCACTTGATGATTTTAAAGGTCTTTTCCAACCTAAATCTATGGTTTTATGATTCTGTAACTAGACAAACTCATTTACATGCATGAGACAGTGTTCTGATGCAGCTCTTGCTATGAAAGCCTAAACGCTCTATAAATACATATGCATTCATATTATACTCCTCTTTTAGGTTCATTGAGCACAAACAAAATTTCAACTAGAACCACACTGAGCAACATCGAAGTCAGTTCAAGTAAGTTGGATTGTATAGTAAACCCAGACACAGAAGAGGTATGTTGAGTTTCAACTGCTTAAAAATATCTGTATGTATGTGCGTGCGTGTGTGTAATTAAATACATAGTGTATTATTTTTGTTTGAGTAAATATTATAAACTGAAGTAATACTATGATTGGTCAGATGACAGCCAGCAAAGATTTTTTTAGCCAAACTTACTCTTATTCTTTCTAGGCAATAAATTTTGGCTGGTCATCCCTTAGCACAAGTCACTTCTGATCTTGCAAGCTGGTCTTGATGGGTTTTTTACCCATTTGCAAATGCTTAAACTACTGTGGATCACTGATTCAGGTTTTCCATTGTAAATCCATATTTTAGTCTTTTTTTTTTTGAATGCCTAAACATAGAGGGGGCAGGTGAAGTAAGTAAGCAAAGCCACAGTGATAGTTTTATTTTTTCCATTTAAAATAACAGAGTTTCTGTGACCATAATCTGGAAATTATCAGTTCCAGCACTAAAGAAGAAGAGGAAAGTTTATTGTGGAAACTAGTAAAAATAGAATGTAAACATTTGCTTGTACATGTCTTTTTCTATTTTTCTTTTGTGTCAGCTCTGAGGAGAGTTTTTCCTCTACTCTTCTTTAGTACCCATCTTTTCAGTGTTTTCTCTGTTTTGTAATGCAGAATTTTGCTCTGGACATAGATCTAAAGGTAAAAGATTTCTGAGTTCCACTCCTAATTCTATAGCTTACAGTCTGTCACCTGAAAAAAAAAAAATGTTCTGTGCAATGTTGTGGAATGTTTTTCTGAAAAGTTCAGGAAAAATAGAAGTTTATGTAAATGGCATTCCTTGCCCCAGCCAGGTGATGTGCTTTTGTCTTTTGATCCAGTGAAGGTGGTCCATAGTGTGACGACCAGTGGTGCCATGATTGGTCATTGCCTTCACCTCACTTTATGTTAAGCTTTAGAATGTCAGTTTCACCAATGAAGGTAGATTAATAATTTCACACACACATAATCACACAGAATCACTGAGTTGGAAGAAACCTTCAAGATCATTGAGTCCTACCCAGCCCCAACGCTTCAACCAAACCCTGGCCCCCAGTGCCACATCCAGGCTTTGTTAAACACACCCAGGGATGGTGACTCCACCACCTCCCTGGGCAGCCATTCCAGAACTTTATCACCCCTTCAGTAAAAAATTTTTCCTAATATCCAACCTATATTTCCCTTGGCACAGCTTGAGACTGTGTCCTCTGGTTCTGTCAGCTGCTGCCTGGAGAAAGAGCCTTACCCCACCAGACTACAACTACTCTTCAGGGAGTTGTAGAGAGTGATAAGGTCACCTCTGAGTCTCCTTTTCTCCAGGTGAGCACCCCCAGCTCCCCCAGTCATTCCTCACAGGGTTTGTGTTCCCAGCCCCTCTCCAGCCTTGTTGCCCCCTCTGGACATGCTCAGTGTCTCAACGTCTGTCCCAAACTGAGGGGCCAGAGCTGGGCACAGCACTCAAGGTGTCGCCTCACCAGTGCTGAGTACAGGGGCAGAATGACTCCCTGCTTCTGCTGGCCACACCATTCCTGATCCAGGCCAGGAGCCATTGGCCTTCTTGGCCACCAGGGCACACTGCTGGCTCAGGTTCAGTTGGCTATCAGTACCTCCAGGTCCCTTTCTGCCTGGGTACTCTCCAGCCACACTGTCCCCAGCCTAGAACACTGCAGGGGGTTATTGTGGCCAAATGCAGGGCTCGGCACTTGGACTTCTTAAATGTCTGCATTTTATTGGATTCTGCCCATCCTTCCAACCATTCCAGGTCTCTCTGCAGAGCCCTCCTACCTTCCAACAGATCAACACACACTCCCAGCTATTTGTGTTACTTGCTTTTATACAAACTGCTAGATGTGTGTCAAAGTGTTGTTCATTTTTCCTTTCACTTTGGTGTCTTAGTATTTTCAGACTTTAGTTCTGCACTAATTTCTCTATCTTTCTCCCCCATACTCTTTGTAGGCCTGCATGCTTTCCCTGTAAGTTCTCAAGAGCCTTCCTTTTACTAGTAAAACTATCCAAAGAAATAAGAGTATGGGAGTTGCATGGCACAATAAGGCAACAATGGTTTGGTTTTTTCGCAGTATGGATAATAGCTTTCAATGTGTACTCCTTGAATCATAGGTGATTTAGTTGAAAACTGTGTAATCACTATAAACAGTTAGTGTAGGATGTTTCTAGCTAGTTTATATGTAAAAGAGTAAACATACCAATGAATAATTGTAAAACAATTTTCGTGCATGTAATACATTTAGATACTTATGGCAATGTGTGAAATGTAAAATGTTTATAGGGAGATGACTGTTCAGTGAATGATGACTATTTAAATGGCTATCAAAAAGTCTCCTCTGTGGGGGCTGAAAGAAGACAGTATATAGGTCTTGAAAAACAAGGATGCAATCTTTTGGGTATATACCTTACCATTATGTATATGTACAGGTGGACTCAGGAAGCCAGAGACAAAACAGATTGTAGAATCTTTCCTTTTTAGTAAATGTTTTAAGTTATATCTACCCCTTTTGTTTGTATGTACAAAATCATTAAACAATGTACACAATGATTAAACAAAGAAGGATTTGTAGCAGATTGCTATTTGGTATAAAGTGCTTTTTTTGGCATTTTATCTTAAAATTAAGTGCTCTTTAGTTTACAGTTATACAGTGTTTATCCTGTGTGTATTATTTTACACTTACAGTTGACAATATCTGTGGCAATGTCTCGGGCTGTTACAGTGTTTTGCAGTTTAATTTGCCCTATACTGCTAAAAAATCTTGAAAATGTGCCCTAAAAAATGGACTGTAGCCTTAAATTTTACCCTTTTTCTTCAACTGACCTCTCATGCGTATTTGTACAAATCCCTGAACCTGCAGACCTCACTTTCAAAATATTCATTATAAGCACTGTCTGTTTTATTTAGGGGCCAGAACCCGAAGTTCTTGAAGAAAACATGGTTACTTTTGGACAACAGCTACCTGGTGTAGGTACTGGTGTTGATTGTCAATATAGTGTCAAACACACTCTACGAGGAATGCAAGATAAACTCAAGGAAGCAGCAAGAAAAATTTCAATTCTGAACCAAGAAAAGAGGCAGCTGATTGAAATGGGAAACGGACTCAGGGCAGAACTTGGAATGGTGTTAAAGAAAGGTAAATTTATTCTAAAGAAAAATGCTAGCTTATATATTTAGAGTAAAATGGACAGAGAATCAGTTCATCCTTTGAGCTGGAGAAAGCTAGGCTTCATTATAAAAAAGAGGTGCTGGACCTGACTGGTCCTTGATCTACATAGCTCATGTGAGACTGTGGTACTAATCCTTGCAAGTAAGATCCTTGCAAGTATGCTGTGATAGGAGACGCTAAGATCAAACAAGAGTCTACGTAGTTACTTTTGCTGATAAACACCTTAGATGAAGAAGACTCTTAGAGTCATCTTAGATGACCCCCTGGTGCCTAGATGTCAGTGTGGGAACTTAAACTTTACTTTAAGACTTTGTTTATGAGCATAAAAGAGGTAGTGTATCTCTTGGAATAAAAACTAACACTTTAGGAAAGTGGAAGAGAAAGCAGAATAAGTTTACTGTAAACTTGAATTAAGAGTATATATAATGTAAAAAGATTTCACTGTGGATATCTAAGTTCCATGCATAGTCTTTCTGGCAATGAAATAAAGGGAAAAAAGCACGAGGCCCATTTCTGCATAGCATTGAAACCATTTGCAATGAGAAGGCCTGTGTTCTGTGGTTCATTTATTATCTGCTGTAAACACTTGCTAGAAATGCAATATGGTTGACAAAATATCAACAAAGAATGCCTTCCTCAGTATATTTTCTCCTTTATAGGAGTCTGGCATCCTGTTAGCTCTAAACACTGCACAGTTTGTATTGCCTCTGGTAGTCTTCTTCCAAGAGAACTTGTCAAAAGAACACAGTGTCAGCTATCAGTTCTAAAGCATCTACAGCACAGACTCACAACACAGGTAATTATATGCTGTTTGAAATTTAGCCATAATAAGCCATTAAGCCAGTTATAATTCCACGAATATAACCTATAATTCTGCATTTAAATTACTCTGACTGAGTTTAGCTCAAATCTGTCTTTGGAAGATTCTATAGAATCATTGCATATCTGGGGCTGGAAAGAACCCATGAGGATCTTTGCATCCTGATGTCACACAGGACAACCTAGAAGTTAAGCCATTTAAGTTAGAGGCATTGTCCCAAATGTTTTTTCAACGCAGAAAGGCTTAGGGCTACACCCTGGGGAGATTGTTCCACTGCTTGACCACCCCTCTCAGGGAAGAATTGTCTGAATTTTCCCTGATGCAGATTTAAGACATTCCTCCACATCCTATCACCGGACAGCAAAAACAAAAATCAGCACTTCCTACTCTTCTTCCCCATCATGGAAGGAAGTTATAAAGAGCAATGAGGTCATCTGCCAGCCTCCTCTTTTTTGAGCTGAAGAGGCCAAGTATCCTCAGCCACTCTTCATAAATCTAGGCATCTAACCTTTTCACCATCTTTGTTTGCCCTCCTTTGGACTTTCTTCAAATATTTCTATATTCTTCTCATATTGTGGAGCCCAAAAATGCACACATTTTGTACTTGAGGTAAAGCCGTGTCAGTGCTGAGCATAGTGGGACATTCACTTCTTTTGGCCAGTTAGCTGTGCTGTGTTTAACACACTAAGGACACAGCTGGCACTCCTGGCCACCAGGATACGCTGTTGATTCTTGCTGAGCTTGCCAACAATCAAAACCCCCAGATCCCTTTCTTCAGGGCTGCACTTCAGCCTCTTGTCCCTCAAATGTATACAGACATCCATGCCTATAGTTCCAGGTACAGAATCCAGCTTTTTTGCTCTCATAAAATTTCATGCAGTTGGTGATTACCAAGCATTCCAGTCTATCAAGGTCTATTTGTAAGGTCTCTCTATCCAGAAGGGAATCAATGAGTCCTTCTCATTTGGTATCATCAGCCAACCTAGTGCACACTCAACTCATGTGTCCAGGTCATTGATAAGAGACTGGAGAGAACTGAACTGAAAATTGAGCCTTGGCAAACACCATTAGTGACTGGCCACAAGCCAGATGGTTCCCCATAAGTTTAAAGGGTTTCGGACTTCAAAAGTAATATTTTTAAATGTGATCTTTAACCAAGGTATTTCAGAAACACATGTATTTATGCAGTGTAAATGCAATCCTAAATTACAAATTTCGTAAGGCTTACTTTTAACTAAGCAAGAAAGGCTGTTTGAAGGATTTGCACTATGTTCTAATATAAACTTTAAAATTATTAATCAGTGAGGGTATTTCCAAATACTCACAGTGGTGGGATTTTAAAGCACCCATGTCCAAATGACATATATAAAAGCAGGATATATAGTTAATCTGTCTCATGTATTTTGTAATTGAAATGCAACCTTTAATAGTTAAATTGCAGCTTTTATCAGAGAGACCAATGAATGAATCCTGGCTTTCCTAGTAGTTAGTGGCAGACCTCCCAGTAACTTCGATAGTCAGGATTTCACTGTGTACTTTATTTAATTGATCAACAGATTTGTTCCTGTGGGGATTGGGTCAGAGCAGTTGATTGTTGTTGTAGTTTTGAAGGCAGTAAACAGTGTTCTTTTAGAAAGGGTGAGGTTGTTGCTCTGAGGTATAAAACTCCAGTAGAATTATTAACCAAGTTTAGCTGGGGAAACACTTCCTCTGGGAACCACTCTGTGGATATTCTCAGTTCAGTCAAAGAAAGATCAGAGATAATTTCTCCCAAGCTGAGCCTGAGGATCTTAAAAGAAAGAATTAAAACAATTATTATCTCTCTTTCTGTAACCGTTGTTTATAAATGTAGTTCTCCAGAGTGTGCATTCATAGTACACCAATAATGTGAGATGTTTCTACTCTAAGACCAATCAAGTATCGCCTTAGTGAGTCACATTATAAAAAGACCTGCTACTGTGATTAAACACTTTTTATCTTCTGATCCACCTGAAGACTGGAGTCTTCTTCCCCTCCCTGACTCAACAGCGTCACCACTCTGGGCAAGTTGTTCCAGGGTTTGTTCACCCTCACAATAAAGAGGGCTGTCATTTGGTTGGGGTTTTCTTTCCCCTTATACTTAAGCAAGGTGTCCTATACTTACTTTTTTGCTCATTGTCACTTGGTCTTCCAGTGTATACCAGTGAGATGACTCCAACTCAGTCATCTTTATCTCCTTATAACATCCTCATCAGATGTTTATACATGTTGAAAAGATTAATCTTTCTCTTCTGGAGGTCTGCAAGGCCAGCTGCCCCAACTTCTTCTTCTACATCAGATGTTCCAATTCACTGATCTTTTTGGCTGTTTGCTATTTTGTGGAATGCCTCAGCATGCTTGTGGATATATAATTTTTTCTGTATGCTTGTGATAATCTCATTAACTTAAAGTCACAAGCTTGGCATCCTTTGTTCACTTGAACTTTCAGTTCTCTTCTTCAGAAATAGCAACCTGTTTATTAAACAGTAACACTGGAAATAATTTTTTACAAAGGAAATTAGGGTTCAGCAAACCAGTTGAGGAGACCTCTTGTAACCTGCATGTTTCATCTGTGCACTGCTGGGACTGAGGTCTGAAAAAGATTAGCTAAATGCTTATACCAAACATACATAAAAGTGACTTCGAGATCTGGGCAAAATTACCAAAATTCAAAACCACTTTTTTTTTTTCCTTTTCCACCTCTTTAATTATTCTTTCTTTCATAGCTCACCTTAGAACTTCACTGACTTTCAAATTAAGACCAATTAATATTCATATCCATCCATCCCAGTCCTCTCTTGCCTTATTTTTAATGAGCAAGATACTGTGTTTGTGTTTTTCTACATATCTCATGTCTCCCATGTTCTGTTAAAAATCATCAAAGATGATTCTTGCTTTTGTAGGAATAAATAGATTTTTAAAATACAGCATGACTGTGGCACTTGGAGAGGTAGAATTTGACTGTGAGTTTCCAGATGGTGAGCTAAACTCTGGGAGTAGTAGTTCAACCTCTTCAGCTGATGGGTTGCTTGGAGGTCATGGCTGAAGTGGCTGTCATTGAGGATCTTTCCACCTCTGGAACCTTTGAGTTTTTATTTTGTCTAGACTAGAAAGGATAGCCCTTCTTACATCCAAGCTGTTCCATACTCTCATTCCAGGCTGCTCTTTACTCAGAATATATCTGCTGAAGCTTCAGCTCCTACACAAAAGCTGAGCTCCAGGCTGGCTTTCCAAAGTCTACTATTATGCTAGTTTGGGTGTTTTTATTCTGTGATCCTCTTACTGGCCAGGCTACATTTACTTCTGCATTCCAAGATCTTCATCCTTACAAAAAAACAAGATAATTTATTACTGTCAAAGCTACAGGAATTTTACTGTCAATTACTTTACATAATGGGCTTATGTTTTGTTTCTTTAGTCTTAAATATATAGCTAAAGACTTCAGTGTTTATTTGCATCTCCTTTGACAGGGCTGAAGCAGTTTGCTTTTCATCAAATCTCACTTTAGTTGCTACAAGTTGAAAGTTGATGAAACTTTGAGAGGTAAATTAGTTTGTTTTGGCTGCTGATGACATACTTTTCCATAGCTGCTTTATTTTAGTTGGGGTTTTAGGTATTGTTTTGGAGTTTTTCTTCTGTAATTTAATCACAGGAAAATACAAAAGTGAAGAAGGACCCTGACGATATAAGCTTGAGCAACAAGCAAGGTGATAGTAACAGCACAAGGAAATGTAGATATTTATTATAAAGGTAGTTTGACCCTGTTGATCTGAAGAGAACATAATTTTGTTGAATATTATTTATAACTGATTATTTTAAATCTAGCAGTGTAACAGCAAACTGAGCCATAAGAGTGTTAGTTTTAGGGACCATGAGTTACTTGTTTTAATGTAATATTTCACATTAGGAGCTGCAGTGCACAAAGCAACAGCATCCTTCAAGATTCTCTTCTCTTACTGCCTGCCCTAGCTTAAAGGAAGAAGAAGCTCCAAGCAGCTGTGGAGACGAAAGAGAATTACCATGCAGTGAGGTACAGTGCAGTTTTATGATCAATGTAACTCACCTTCATTTGGCTTTTTCAGTTTGAATTGCTCAACAGTCATCTCCTCAAAGACTTAAAAACCTATGTCTTTTGTAAATTATGCATTGTTCCTGTACAAAATAGTATTTGTTAACACTAAATAAACTAGGGTTTCTCAGTCACTGTCATGATGTTGTAATTAATCTTCTTGTACAACCTTTCAAAATTAAAAATAATTATTTTCTTTTGTCTTGCCTCTTGCCAAAACTCTCTTTCTTTCCAAGTCCAAGATGCCACTATGAAATGTAACAAATTTTCTGATGTGTTTGATGTGAAAAGTTTGTATGTCTGTAAGATTGTGTTTGAATTTGAACAGGTTTGGATAGATTTCTCTATTGAAAATCATGGGCCAGATACATTCTCAGCAACAAAGGCAGATACATCCACAAAGATTGCTCAAACTCAGCTGCTCAGTCAGAGTCCTAGTCATGTCCAGCAGGTTCAGCTTTCTTCATCTAGAACGCATGCTTTCTGTCAAATTTTAGATACGGGATCAAGCCTTCCTCTACTCAGTCCTCAAAAGAACAGCAGCCAGGGTAAGCCTGCTTTGTAAGCAGTCACAATATTTGACTCTTCTGGAAATGTGGAATTATGGTCTATTATGTCATCATTCTTTTACATACTGCTCCTCTTGTCACAGTCCTGTGATCAGAATCTGAATTAGTTACTTGAAGGGAATTTCATGGTTGCCAGCAGAAGTAAGAATTAAGAGGAATGTCTGTATAGCTGTCTGGTTTAAATGCCTTCATTGCAAATACTTCTTCACTTTTATTAAGTACTCCTGTAAAATGCAACTTCTGTTTTGATATAGTCTGAAACTTAGCTGGGGCAGATATAAATGTGTCTGTTTGAAAACTGTATGCTTCATGTGTTGACAAGTGACTCTTAGATCAAAGTGTAATTTGTAAATCCTTGCTTAATTCGCGTTTTCTTGTCTGATTTATAGCTACAATACTACCTAGAGCGCTAAGACCTAAGAGCCAAAGGTGACATCACAGGCATAATGGTGGTATATGCTGTGGGGATTCCCTAGAATTTTATAGTCCACTGCAACAAGTTGAGAAAGGAAAAAAATAGAAGCAGGCACAAATTTTTACATATGAAACAGTCTTTACTTGTGAGACAGTGTGAGGGTTAGGATGACAGGAGAAAGTAAAACCTAGGTCATGAACATGAACATGAATTAGTGTTACACTTCTACAAAAATCACTACATGTTCTTGGAAATTTTAGTGAGAACAGCATTTGTAAGATATGTGCAGTGAAGTGTAGCCTCTTTACACAACAAGTTGTTAAGGAACTTTTTAATGACAGCTATTATGTTGAGCAGTGTATTGCAGCTTAATGTTACATATTTGAAATTATTGGTCTGTTCATGAAGTAATCCTTCATTGGCTAAACTTTGGGAAACTAACTCCTGCTGTAGGACAAAAAATAATGGACTTACATTATAATATCAGAAAAATATTAGGTATAGCTAATAATGGAGTATGTTCCCTAGAGGGATCGTACACTTTTCTTTATAGAAGATAATTATAAATAGGCAAACATTTCTCCAGGATGTTCCAGTAAAAGTGGGTTTTGCTTGTTTTTATTAAATAAGAGGTGTAGCTTTCAATAAGTTATTTTTCAAAATGCTGGAGGGCTTATGTGAATTGATTGGGCTTTTTGCCTTGATGTTATTTTCATCATCATCATTACTCCTGAGATCTGACAGTATCTGTATAGCAATGTGGCAGCCATTTAGACTTTTTAAATGAACTGTATTACCATTACATAGATATTCGTATGTGATTAATCACATACAGACTGCAGGAACAAGAATGCAGTCACTGTATTCAGGGAAGTGATTTGTTCCCCTAAATCTGATACTTGTGAGGCCACTGTGTCCACCTTTGGACTCTCTTGTACAAAAGTGTGACAAACTGGAGACCAGTGGAGAGCCACTAAATGGCTGGGCCATGGGAACACATTAAACAAGAAGAGGTTTAGAGAACTGGGTTGTTAAGTGTGGAAAAGAGTAGGTGAATGGTCAGACTGGTGCTTTTTAACTACCTGGTGAGGAATTTTAGAGAAGGGAACCAGACTCTTAAAGATGCACAGTGAAAAGTGGCAATGGACACAAGTTCTGTCAAGATACATTCTGAGCAGGGAGTGATAAGCACTGTGACATTTCACCCACAGGTCCTATCCAGCCTATGTTACATCTATTTTTAAACCAGTGTATGGAGGCAATTAACCATCTTTAGTAGCTGACAAGAAAAAATAATACTTAAAAGGGCTTTCAAAATGAAGAGTGGATTATAAGTGTATTTTTTCACAACAGCAGTGCATTGCAGGGACAAAGTAAGGTGCATTGACAGACCTGTAGGACTGGAATGGACATCATGCTGACACTCATGATTCACGTGCTTTTTTTGTGAGGCTAGGACTGAAATAGGAAGAGTATTTCAGGCCAGGCCTATATTGACAGGATAAGCAAAAGGATGTCTTTGAAACATTACTGATAGTGCTGTGCAGTTTCGTGCTGTTGTATGTGTGGTGCAACCACTCTGGCAGCCTTACAAGGACATCAGTTTCTTAATGTCTAGAAATTTCCAGCCACTGTTGCAAAACTTAATGTAGATTTTCGGGGATCTAGAAATAGCAAAAGGGACAGAGGATACTGCCAACGTGGAACAAGTTAAATGTGAATCAATAAGGGATAATATTTTCCTAAAACCAAGTTTAATTTGATCTCTGCAACCAGATTTATATCCACCAGAGTGGAACTTCTTACTCAGACATGCAGGCCCTGAAATACTGCATTGCAAGAATACAATTTTTAAACACTCTATGTGCTTAGCTTTCTCCTCCAGAAAAAGGTGTCCTTAATTCCACTGGACTGAATTCTGTATTTCAGAAAAAAAAAAAGTGAAAGCAGAATCTTTCTTTTTTTTTGGAACAACATCACCTTAGAAGCATTATATACAAAATTTTCAAATTCTGCTTCTAATTGTTAGCAGAGGCTTGTATTATTTTTCAGGCCTGAACTATAGGAATTAATTCAATCTTTCCTGTTTAAAACCACTCACTTTAATTTAATATATTCGTCAAATACATTGTTACAATGGATAGAACTGTCATTGAGACAGAGTGACTTGGAACTGGGCTTTCAGGTACAAGCGACGCACGCAGAGACTTGGAAGCTCAGTGTCACAAAATGATTTGCAGCAAAGCACACAAGTTAGTTTGCTTATTCAATCCTTTTTTTTTTTTTTCCCAAGTTCAACTCTGTCCAAATTGGTAACAGCAGTAGATGTGTTTTGTGGGAATTTCTGGTGAAACAGAATTGTCACTTGAAAATGATCTTTCTGAACGTGTTGAACAGTTTCATTTTTTTCATGTTACATGTGCAAAACAGCCTACTGGCACTCAAAATGGTTGGCATGTCAAGTAAGCCCTGCAATTTGCTGTATTTCCAATATATTACACAATGCAATGACTAAATCTGTTTTGAAGAGTTAATGACTACATCTTAATTACTGAAGTGGACTGTTATATACTTTATTCATTTCACCATCAAATTCAGACCTTGTGTAAGCTTCCAAGCAAGTCAAAAGGCTATTTTAATTTTCTCTCTCCTTACTCTACCTGCTAATTTTCAGTTTAGTGTAGAAATTAGATTGATTTCATAGCTTGCATGTTAATTCTGCAGATAAGTAGAACGAAGATGTTTAGAAGGATTATAAGTCCCTTCTTCAGGTATTTTTATGGTTCTGTATTATTGAAAGAAAAAGAACCTCTTAGAGATAGACAGGTATAAGCCCTGATGATATTAAAAGGCTGCATAGGATGCATGGGCTGTACAAATAAGAAATACACCTCTATATTTCTTTATTTTTTAAATGCTGTATCCCAGAGGTTGAGAGCAGATGGAGATTTTGATTGGTGATCCACTTCATTTGCACCTTGAATGCTGATGACAAGCCACCCTCAAAGGAAAGTAGAGCCTTTTTTGATTTTAGAGTAAATGTTAGGCAGGAGGAGGGGAAGATTTGTAAAACATTTATAAAATGGAAATTTATTTTCTTCTATTTATTTTAATAAACTTTCTGTTTGCTATTGAACATATTTACTAGTTTTTTCAGAGGGGAAAAAAGCAAACATCACCTATTGAAGTTCAGCTGTAATACTGCATTTAGCATGAAGTCAGTACTGTGAAGGGTTCTGTGTGGTAGTGTGAAATGCTCCTTATCAGCTCCAATCAGCTATCCTTGGGTTAGCAGAGGCTGGGGGCACTACAGGGGGAATAAGAGTGTAAGGCAAGCTGTGTCCCCACTAGTCATTTGACTTATACATATTTAGTGTAGATGAAACGTTGTATTTTCACATCCCACAACACATTTTTGAGAAACCCCACCATCACAAGTATTCAGAACCCTGTCCTCAGTTTAATAATTTGGATTTACATTTTAGCCTAACAAAGAACAGGAGTGAGCTGCTTTGAGGTAAAATAACTTTTTTTATTTACTACTTGAGCTTAGATAGGGGAGTTTCTTGTACTGTAATTCTCACTGTAGCTTGCAAAGCTCTGTCGTCTGAAATTCCACACTTCATGGATCAAAAGTTATCTTAAGTGTTTCCACACTAGACAGAATTTCAACAGCTTTGACATCACTGACAGTTCTAAGAGCAATCCATGTGGGTAAAAAGCTGGCCAGAGAAAGAATCTGGTAAAATATTAACAAACAGGAACAGTGCTCTGGCTCTGGCTTCATTCCAGCTCCAATCAGAGAAAAACTCATGATCTCTTTTCTGTGTTACATAAAACTTCATCTTTGAAGTGTTTCACAAATATTAACTACGTTTTCTTCATTTCTATGTTCTTCTCCTGAATAGGAACTTGTTTGAGTTGGTGTTCCTTAGGAGCACTGTTACCCATAAGCAAATATCTAGTGACAAATTTCTTAAATGAAACTTCCATTTGAGGAAATTTCAGTTTGACTATACAACATGTCTGCATATATCTCTTTTATCCTGAGGAAAAAAAAATCTATGAATGTTTGTTCATTTCCGACTGAAGTTAGCACACATCAAATGGAAGATATGTTAAACATTTCAATACACTAAACATTTAGTTCCATTTTCAAAAGCAGTTTAGGTGCTTAGCTATGATCTTGCTAGCTGTGGTCACTTCTGAAAGTAAGTTGAAGGATTGTAAATTAGGTGTGTTTTTTCATTGGTGTGCAAACTAAGCTATGGCATTTTAAAAGTATTTCTAATTCTGGGGTATTGATTCTTTATATTTTCCTAATTTTTGGAACTAACCTTACAAGTTTGCGGTGGTTGATTTTAAATTTCTGTGTTAGTACACACTTTTGATGGTCCAAAACTTAAAAATAGCCATGTAGAATACTTGTGTTCTGTGCTATTATTCCAAATACCTAACTAAGTAGCCTTTACTAGTTACAACTATAGTTTTTCTACTAATGACAGGAGACAAGCATACAGAAGTCTTCACAGGAAGGGGTGGATGCATGTCATGCAGTGGTGCTTGGTTACTTTGCCTTTGGAATAACACAGTTAGGGCCTGCCACATTAACTTCTGAAAGTCATCCCCCTGGGTGAATACAAAAGGTCCATGAAAACTGAGTGAGTGTTTTAAAAAACAGACTGTCTGTAAGCAGTGTTAACTGTGTGCTATGGAGCACTGGATCTCCTCATTCCTGTTATTCAGACCACAAACAAGAAGTAGTATTATTCTGCTGCTGTTCCTGTTCAAGACAGCAATCTTTGAAGCAATACCTTTTAGACACTGCTGCCTGCACTTTTCTAAATGGTTGATGTTGTGCAATTCTGCTTTCTTACCTGCCAGATGTGGGAGAGGTATTCTAATGATTAAAGTCCATTTCCCATGCAGGAAAATACACCCAACGATCTTCATGGGCTCAAGCATCCTCTTCCATACCTTCTTCATCTGTAGGAAACCACTAGGTGGCAAGCTGAACAACAGTATTTCGCATCCACAGCTCAAGAGTCCACTGAGCTTTTGTCACCAAGCTGATTCAGTGCAGAGATCACACACACACGAGTGAACAGCTGGTTCAAGCTAAGCCAGTGTATAAAAATTATTTTGAAAAGTGTCATGTTTTGACATGAGCAACAGCGTCATGCTTTGCATAGAGCTATAAACCTTCAATTGATCAATTCATCCTGTAGTTCAGGAATATGTTGTAATTCCTTTGATGTAGAATTTTGTTTAGACTTTCTACCATGTTCAATTGGCTTTGAAAATTTACCTTCTCCTACTAGTAACTGATCTTTGTCATTTTGTGCACCTTTTATTCTTGCTGTAATTGAGTAGTATCTGGGACTGCAGACCATGATGCTTATAAAATGATACTAATACAGAATACTGTAGTATTTGTAGTAGTATTAATATAGTAGTATTTTATATACAGGTTTATTACGACTACTTCTGCTGTCCGCTTTGGCTCTCCATAGAAAATCTGAAGTTAAAGTCTCAATGCCTTGAAAAATAAGAGTTAAGTGGCTGGAGTCAAACACCTGTAAATATTACCTATAGTTTACAGTGAATAATGCAATTGAACAGTTCCACTTATCTTACCTGAAGAAACCTGTGATAAGACTGAAGTTCAGTTAGTTGGAGATAATAGTTTTTGGAGAATTATGTGAGAACTGCAAGATGGACTCTGGTATTAGGACCAGTCCCACTGCTTCCTAAACAAAGATGTTTCTTTTTGAGCTAGTCCTTACTGTAAAGACAGATATTTTAGATAACAAAACCAAAGATGTACATACTAAATGCTTTCCTAAGTGAAAGAAGATTGAAAAAACACCCAAAAGATAATGGTAGTAATGCAGCTTTGTCAAGCCAACAGAGTTACCTCTCAAAATGGAGAGAAGGGTAAACTTTTAAAATATAATGTTTTAAAACAGCTGAACAGATAGGTAGTGCTTGACTTGAACTGTTACACTGACCTTCCAGCTGTCATCCTCTCTTAAGCAGTCTGATGCTAATGGAAAAGGAACATGTACAGATGAAGTGAGGATTGAGCAGAAGATACTGTGTTATACCATCAGTATGGCAAGCCTTAATGGACTGTACTGGGTTCTTATGTAAAGAAATGGTCCTGGTAATATAAGATTTTGACAATGTGGCACTATGGCAGCAGTATATTTAGAGGAAAAGAGTAAACCAGCTCTCTTCAACTATCCAATCTCATAATTGAATACAAACATAACTATAAAGTAATTTTCTGTCTGTTTTTTGAGCAGGGGAGTTTGTAGTTGTACATTCAATCAAGCAATCTGAAGAATCTCAGCAAAATGTCAAAGCCAAGGATAAACTTGAAACATCAGCTGAAGATTTGACAGTCAGAGGAACAAGGCTGGAAGTTCAGCATAAGTTAAAATCCAGGAGTTTATCTTGTGCTCATCTAGTAAAACCAAAAATCTCTTCTAGCATGGCAAAAATCCGCAATTATAATATTAAAGACTGATTTCTATGTTGTCAGCATGTTGTAGGTTCACACTTGCTATTAACTTACTTTAACATCTCTGTATCAGGTCTCATTATTAGCCACAGTTTTGTATGTCAGGTTGAGATATCTGCAGCCAGAAGAGAGAACAAATACCCTGTTTCATATAGTGAAGCCTAAAATAAAGGGTTAATCTGTGCACATTATGAGGTTACAGTTTTCACTGTTAATACTGATTTATTTTAATTATATATGTTAAGATTTTCTTGCATCATGGATTTAGAAATGCTCAGTTAACACATAGGCAAAGCCTTGTGCCTTCAGGCAGGACTTGCAGGACTCCAGCAGATGTTTTATTGAGAAACTGTAGATGTGATTTAAGCTTAGAAGTGGGATGCCTCAACCTACTTGTCTTCTAAATAACAATGCAACCGTTAATCCTGTGCAGCTATCTTTCTACATGATAGAAAAGAGTCTGTATTGCATCTGAGTCTGTATTATTTCTCATCTTCTGTAGCTCTTTCCACTTGTTCAGAGAGCATGAAAGAATATAAAATTAAATTTCTATTGTCACACCAGTGATTGTATTTTCCCTTGACAAGAGATTGTATGGACTTCAAAGCAGTGAGAAACACTGCTACAATGTTACAACCATATATTCATAATAATAGAGTCATGTTGGAAAAGTAAGTCTTAAAACAGATGAAACTAAAAGAAAACTTGAACGAGTTGTGATGTAAGAAAGGATAGCTATGTAGCAATGATCGTGCCAGGACACAAATACAAGTAATCAGTGTATTTTTGTAGCATTTCCAATAATGCTGACCTGTCCTGGGATATTACAGAGATGAACTTTCCTATAAGTAAAGGAAATGCACATGAAAAATTCAGTAAAAAACTTTTAATTGTGGGGATGGTCAAGCACTGGAACAGATTGCCCCGAGGAGTTATGGAGTCTCTGTTTCTATGGAGATACTCAAAACCCAACTGGACATGGGCCTGGCCAGACTGTTCCAGCTGACCCTGAAGCTGAGGGCTTGGACTAAGTGATGTCAAGAGGTACCTTCCAATCTAAGATATTCTGTGATTCTGCAAGTGGTATCACTGAAGTGAATAACACTTATCAGTTGCTGCTAAATATATAAAATCTAAAAAGATTAAACGAAGGAAGAGAGCTACTAATCCATGAGTGTCTTTTTTTTTTGTGGAGTGGTTTGTTTTTTTTTAATAGAAATGCTTGCCTGATACTCTTTGCAAAGAGGTGTTCTGTTCAGCACCTGACAGAGTGGTAGTAATCCATTTGAGAATTTGAGTAATTATTTTGTACTACTTGCTGAAAATATTTTGCTTTAGTACAAAGGTGCAATGATATTATAATCAGATGCTAAATCTGCAAGAAATTTCATGAGATATTGCTAAGCCAATATAAGGCCTGAGAGACCTTGTGAGCTTCTTTCTAAACATTTTCATTACTTGAAAATCCTGTCATTTGATTCAACATTGTTCATGAGCCAGGACAACATGATGCACTCCCTTGAACCAGGCCCTGAATGAGTTCTTTCTGTAGCACAAAGCATAGTGGTTTCTAACAACTACAGGAATTTTGGCCCAGATCACACCAGTTAAAGCACTCACTGCTTACTTCTAGAACTCTGTGTGTAAATTCCAGATTTTATAATAGCTGTAGATCATAATGAAATTTTTTTTGTTATTTACATATTTAATATTGACCTGTGGAGATTCACAATAGTTCGGTGGTATGAGATTCTGTGCATGTGTTAAAAGCAACATAAAAGAGCAGTTTGTTCCATGATATTTGTAATACTGCATCTGAACGTGGAAAACATTTCTCTTTATTCCTTACACTGTGGGTGTAAGCTGATGGGCTGCGGACTTCAGAAATGCCTTTGTGTAGGTTTGTATGCAGGTTTCTATGGCTATTTTTTGTTTGCTTGTTTGAGGGCTTTCTGCTTTGTGGTTTGGTTTTTTGGGGTTTTTTTTGGGGGGGTGGGGTTTGGTGGGATTTTTTCTGTTTTGGTTTGGGATTTTTGGGGGGTTTATTGTGGTTTTTTGGTGTGGTGTCCCACTTACTCCCCCTCCCATGTCAACTGGCATGCCTGTTCATGCAGACCTCTTGCCAGTAACGCAGCTTTAATTTATTCAGTTTCTCTGAGAAACAGGTTTCCTTAAGTCACCTGCAGGTAAGAAAATATGATATCTGGGTTGTTTAATTTTATTTTACTTGTGGTAGAAAAAAAAAGTAGTTCAGTTATTGTACATTTGTTTCAGAGTACTTCTGAGTACATAGCATGTAAGTATGAAAATTAAGAAAATTTGCATGATAATAAATAATATTATAATATTATTACATATTGCCTAGGTCGGTTGTGTTAAGGGCATACTAAATACAGCAGGAAAATCCTCATGTATTTTTCTTATGACCAAAATATTTAACAAACTGGGCACTGATTTCTAAGAAGCAGATTAGAAGAGTGGCAGCAAGGTACTACTGTGGATACTATTGAATTGTACAATGAAAGAAATTCCCACAAAGAAGGGAATTCAGGCAGGTCACAGAGTACTGAAAAGGTAAAAGAGGACATTATTTATTGTTGTCCTTATCAAAGGGTTAAAAACCTGTTATGTTGAGGACTGTATCGATAGAGGCAAAAGGTCTGCGCCGAGAAGGTCTAAGTGGAACTGCATTGCGAAGCGGCAGTGCAAGCGCCACCCGGGAGCGGGGCCTCTGCTCAGAGCCAGGAAGGAGAGACAAGGCGGGGGAGTTTCTTGCATCCCCGTGTTCAAGCCCACATTTGCCGACCGAAAGGCGCTTTTGTTTCGGAGTGGCAGTCGTAGGCAATACAGAAGGAAATTCAGATTCATTAGTGTTCGGGTTTAACTGAAGGAGAGCAAGTTACGGGGAAAGTGGATGAGAGGGGCCCACACACAGAGCGATCCGCCCCGTTCCGGTGGGAAGGGGGGCGTAGCAGGGGCACGGCGGGGAGGGAACCTCTGGCGCCCGCCCCCCGCCTCCGGACTCGCTCTCCTGCCGCCCGTCAGGGCGGCGCGACGGGCCCGGGCACGGGGCAGCGCATCCCTGGCCGGCGTGCCTGCTGCCCTGTGGTAACCCCGGGACCGCGCTCCGCCGGGGTGAACGACCGCCGCCGCCGGAGAGCGACGGGCGCTGCTCGCTCTGCCCGCGGCCCCAGCCGCCCCTCAGCCGTCACCACATCGCCTTATCGCTTAGCAACACCGCGCGGGCGCCGCGATTGGCAGGGCCGCGCCCCCGCCCACGGGCCCCCGCCTTCGCATTGGGTGCCGTCCCGGGATTGCGCGTCCGGCTCCGCGTCCTTTCCCTTTGTGCGCCACGGGTGCGCGCGGGCGCTGCGCGACCCGACCGCGCTTGGACCGGCGCCCGTCGAGCCCTCGCCTCAGTCGCCGAGCCACGGTGCCGGCACGGCGCGGTCGCACGCCCCACAGTGTACCTACCCGCGGGGAGGTGGGAGAGGGACACGACAAGGTCCGCGCCCACGGGGGGTCGGCGCTGCCCCGTCCCCGGCCGGGCCAGGCCAAAGCCAGGCAGCGCCTAGCCCTCCACGGCCTCCAGAACGGGGCGGGGCCCTGAGAGCTTGGCCCGGTGCCGCGGGCAGGGAGGCCCGCCTCTGTCCGCCCCGGCCTGGCCAGGGCCCCCTCCTCCCGTGGAGCGGCTCCGGCGGGCAGAGGTTGGCATCACCCCGGGTCTGACCGGGGCGGCCCTGCCCCGTCTCTCATTGGACTGCGGCGAGGCGTAAACTGTCAGCCCATGTGGCGTGGCCGCTGGAGGTGGCGACTGCTTAAATAGGAGTGGGAGCTAGAGGGAGATAGTGAGGAGAGCGCGGAGAATCGGCCGTGTGCAGCCCGGCACCCGCCGCCGCAGCGTCCACCCCGCAGCATCTCGATCCCGCACTGAGCTGACGACAGAGTCTTACCGACACGAAGCCATCCGCACTTGTGCAGGTATCGACGGGACAGCGGGTGCGGCGTGGTCAGGATAGCGGCAGCTTCTGCTCCAGGCTCCGCGGCCCTCTGCGCCCCGCGGGTGCTCTGGGGAGGCTCCATCTTGCCCTCTACGCCGAGTGGGCGATGAGGGTCCCTGGGCTCGGCGGGAGTCCGCGGGCTCGGTCCGCGCCACCGGAAGGTTCTGCTCCCCGGCCCTGGGGTCGCCGCGCCCTGTTGCTCCGGGCCGCAGCGCGGCCCAGCGCGGTCGTTCTGGGGAGAGTCCCCCTCCTCAGCGGCTGGTTACCGCGCCGCAGCCTCCCACCGCCCGGCAAGGTGGCTGCCTTGTGGTGCTGGCGCTCGGCCATCTTGGTGGCGGGCGGGGACCCCTCTCAGCCGGGCCGAGCGGGATCGGGGGCGCGGCCGGGCCCCGCTGCCCGCAGTCCTCGCGCGCTCCCGGCGGCAGCGGCTGCGTGGGCCCGCGCTGCCGCAGCTCGGGCGCCGAGCACCGCACTGCCTCGGGCGGCGCCAGGGCCGCGCGGGCCGCTCTGCCCGGGCAGCGTCCTGCACGCCGTCCCGGGTTCGCGCGAAGGCGCGGTCGTGGCGTGCGGAAGAAGCTTGTACGAGAGGATATCGGCGCTCGATATTGGGAAGGGGGTCTCGCCAATAGGTTCTGGGAATCCATCTGAGGAAACGTGCCGTGTATATTGCTAAACTGTTCTTTCGCACTTCGGTATAAACCAACGGCCAACACGAAATAGCCCGGTGATCGTACACCAGTATTGATTTGATGATGCGATTCTGTTAGGAATA